TGGATGGTTAGCAAAGGTGCCAAGCATCTTGTTCTTGTGTCCAGAAATGGCTCCGTCACTGGGAAAGTTAAGAAGATGGTTGATGATCTCAGTACTGTTGGTGCCAATATCGTAATTCGACGTTGTGACGTGTCAGATAGCGAGGCAGTGAATAATTTGGTCACGAATGAGCTTACCGATCTGCCTGAAGTCAGAGGTGTCATTCATGGAGCTATGGTCCTACGAGTAAGTACAACGGTCTGGTGATATTTGAATATAACTAACAGGAGCAGGATGTTCTATTTGAGAAGATGATGTACGAAGAATATACTTCGGTTATTGAATCTAAAGTTCAAGGTGCTTGGAACTTCCACAATGCTCTCAAGTCGCAAAAATTGGATTTTTTCGTCGCTATTTCTTCGGCCGCCGGTGCAGTGGGAAACAGGGGTCAGGCTTCGTATGCTGCGGCCAATACATTCCTAAACGCATTTGTCCAATATCGTCTCGCTCAAGGCTTGCCTGCCTCATCCCTGGATCTTACCGCCGTGTCCGACGCCGGATATCTCGCGGAAAACCTCGACGCAGCAGCCGAAGTAAGCAAAAATCTCGGAAGTGACACTATATGCGAAGCAGAGGTATTAGCACTTCTCGGGGCTGCCATTACTGGTCGTTTGGCTAGTACATGCAACAATCACACAATAACGGGAATGCGTATCACCACTCCACCACCATTTTGGACTAATGATGCCAAATTTAAACATCTACGACTCGCTCACGAGGCTCTTTCGTCATCTCTCTCCGATTCTCCATCAGCCAACATATCCTTCAATGCCGCACTCAAGAACGCCACTACAATTGAGGAAGCGCAGGAAGCCGTTACACGAGGATTATTACATATTTTACCTTGTGTTTTGATGTTGGAAGCAGAAGATATGGATGTTACACGAAGTTTATCAAACTACGCATTAGATTCTTTGGTCGCAATTGAGGTAAGGAATTTCATTGCGAGGGAATTTGAGGCCAATTTACAGGTTTTGGAATTGTTGAGCAGCGGAAGTATTGAAATGTTGGCGAGAGGTATTTGTGGAAAGAGTAAATTGTGTAGTTTTTAGACGATATCATGGAACCTGGCTGGCTGGGTGTGAGTTGGAATTATAGAAGTTAATATCTTTTTAAGGCTTACTTGTGGCTCAAACTATAATTTAAACCAATCATCTCAATTTATCAAGTCAATGTGCTTATCAATACGATCTCGTTCCCTTTTTCCTTGGCCATTTGATTGAACGAACCTTAATCGCAGACCGTGCAGCCCGAATTGAGAACAGCAATCATCACGAATAACGAATAACGGACGTTCCCTCAGCTCTCAGGGGCCTAATATTTCCGTCCAGAGATGACCAATCAAAGTGGATTGAAGGTACTTGACCCAACACTCCGGATCCGAACGCTAATTCTATCTAATCCGAAGTAATCGTAACTCCTGAGTCTCTTCTGTTCTTTTTTGGAATACACAACTAAAATGAAATACTAGATACCTAGCCAACCATTTCAGAATAACAAACAAGGAACTTCATAACTTTTATAGAACAACATAAAGTAAATTTCTCAACGCCTTATGATATACCCCTAGCGAGGGGATTGAGAGCTGATGCGATTACTAAGCTTGGCGATCAAACGCTTGGTCCTTTTTCTCTTGGCCCCTAGCTCACTGCTCCTCTCATCTTAATGAATGAAGGTGGTTTCATGTCAGCTAAAGATGGTCTTTTATGTCAATTTATCGACATCTTCTGCTTTTGTTGGTATGGACTTTGGATGACAATCAATAACGTTGCTTGAGTACATGATATTGTAGTATCTGTTTGACTCCATTTGTTTATCGGACAGCCACAATTTCTTGGTATCAGCAGCCATATAAATACCTTACAGCATCAATCTGTATAAAAATCAATAACTATCCAAGTGTGAGCTATCTTTTACGCAACTCACATACCTACATTGAAGATGTCTACAACCCCAATTTCGCCTGGGACTCCCACTCCCCACAGTCATCACCACAGAGGTCATCGACTTCGCAATTTCATGCTTCCCAATGGCCGAAAAGTGCACATAGCGCCATCTCCAGAAGAAGCTGATCTCCTCCGTCGACGTCTCAGCACCATAGAAAAAGATCAACCTTTTGATCTCGTCATCAATGGATCTCCTGAACATCTCGACGCGCTTCGAACCGCGCATAGTCATCATGAATCTAAGCGACAGGCACTAAAAGATAAGCACGGTGACGCTTATGATGAATTCGAAAATGTGAAATTAGAACTAGAAACCTTGGGCTCAGAGCTTCATATGTTGACAGATCATTCCGTGGCATTGGATGCGAATTTTTCGAAATATGGGTATAGTGCGCATTTGAGAACTTATGATGATGGGCCGGAACACACCAGTCGGGCGAGCTCGTTATATCATGGACCTGATGATCATGAAAAGAAGGATTGGGCAGCAGAAAAGAGGAAGGGGAGAATTGTGAAACTATATAAAAAGGTGAAGTCTAACAACGATATTAATGCACACTCATTTTGTTTTCTCCTCGTTGTATTCGAACTAACAGCATCTCAGCCCACTGTCAGGCAATATTTTCACCGCGGTTTACTATGGAGAGCATCAGGAACTACTGAAGTAGCATCATTTGAACTCTTTGTGGACCTTTTATACGTCGGTATTCTCGCTATAAACGGAGATCATGCCGCTGAAAGTCCCACTGGATATGAGCTCCTAAGATTTGTCATAACCTTTATCATGAGTTGGAAGATTTGGAGCGATCTGGCTCTTATTATCTCTTGGTTCGAAACCGATGACATAGCTCAAAGAATCTCAATAATGTTTGTCATGGCGTGTTTACTTGGGTGAGTGAAAACGTATATTCATCTAATGCTTCTTTCTATATGCTGTCATCAATGCGCACTTATTTTCATGCTAATCTTAGATAGTCTCACCACAAATATGTTGGAAGCCTTCGAAAACGCATACGCAATGCTAGTAGCATTCTATCTAACCGCTCGGCTTTTCATGGGCTCATATTATTTATTTCTCGCATGGCTTATACCCATGGTTCGAGGCATGCTAATAGCTCAAGCCATCATTATTCTGATCCCCAGTATTCTTTGGATAGGAAGCATCTACGTCGATTTACCCCAAAGATTCGCCATCATTGCTGTTGCCATATTCATAGATTTAACAGGGGCGGTAGGTGTAGTATTCCTCGTTCGAGGTTCTAAATTCATTTCAACCAGACTGGCCGAGTGGACCGATCGAGTATTTGAATTCTACCCTGCTACAAATATCGAACATAAAACTGAGAGAACAAACGCATTTGTGACATTGGTCTTTGGCTATTCAGTTGTCGCTATTATCTATCAAAACGCAGCGTCATTTGGGCTAAATGCATTCTTTGGAAAAGCCGTTCTGGGCCTCATTCAAGCATTTGTTTTTAATTGGATATATTTTGATTTAGACGGTATGGATCTTTTTGCGCATGCTATTCGACGAGATGCTATCGCTTCTATCATCTGGAGTTTTGCACATTTACCCTTTATTATGAGTTATGTTCTAGGGGGTGCTGCACTTTCTAGACTCGTTGTTGCGAGAGATTGTGGTGATACTTCTCTTGAGAGTCTGACGGAAGCATACCAGGAGAAATCTGAATCTGAGATTTCTCATGGGTTGCGTTGGTTTTATTGTGCTGGTTTCGGGGTTGCACTCTTTTGTATGGGTATGACCTCCCTTTCACTCTCTCCACCAGTGGTGTATGGATTGACAGGACACTGCAGAAATCGATTCGGAAATATCTCTTAACATGTCGATTCGCATATCTTAGGAATTGTTACAATATCTCATGAGAGATCGAACAATGAAAAGATAGATTGTGAAGTCATGAAATGTCGAAAGTCGAGAAGTGTCCCGTCATACCATGCACTCATTAGTCTTCATATCCCTCAACTGACCTTTTCCCTTTAGGTATCATATCGGCCTGCCACATCCATAAAAAAGACCACCACGGCATTCGACTCGCTAAACGCTACCGCCTGGTAAACCGTCTCATTGTCTGCATAATACTCATATGTCTTCCTCTCTCATCCCTAGATTCCCTCACACTGATTTCCACTGTCACCGGATTGGTCGTCTGGGTACTCGTGCTGGAGCTATGGGGCCATAGTTGTCCGGATGAAACATTTTTTGGAGGTGGAAAGAAGTGCGGATATACGGCAAAGTGTAAGATATCGAGAAAGGAATTAGAGAAGAAAGCAAGGATGGGAGAGGTGCTAAAACTCATGGAGTTGGGTGGTGGCGAGGGAGGCTTTTATGAGGGAAGTTGATGGGTAGAAGGGATTTAAGTGGATCTAAAGACTATGGGAAGATGAATATAGGTTCAAAAATTAGAAGTGGTCAGTGATTCAACTAATTATATTCGTTCATTGTGGGAATATACAAGGAGATACACGACTTTTCGCATTACGAATACGCCGTTCTGTCGCCGCGACCCTTTACCAATGCAATGGGGAGAAAACTCTAATTAAAACTTTCTGCATGTTTGGGTCGCACATCTGATAACTATTGATATCTTGCAGATGCAATGCGATGCGCGCTTCACCGAGTCTTCTCTTGGCATCATCGATCCTTGATTCGCAGTCGTATCACCGTTTTTGATATGGCGACCTGCATATGTTCGACATCTGGATAAAAATGGATTGGTCAATGGTCGATCATTTACGTTGCTTAGTTACACGGACTGCAGGTTGTTGAGGGGATGGCAATTGACCAATCGGGAATGTTGGATTCAATTGGTGTTAGAATGTAGTGTCGGTTTTTTTTACTTTATGAGTTCGCTGTTCCCGATTTATGTTTCGAAAAGCTTATAAATTCATAGGTTTGCGGCATTCAAAAGTTGATCTCTGGTTTCGTTTTTGAGATTTTGAATCTTTAGTGTATCTTGAGTATATACTGTGTGTGCTACTTGTCAATCTATCACGATGATTTCCCCCCCCCTTTCACTCCCCATCATTCTCTCACTCTTCACTCTCAGCACCGCTCTCCCACAATCTCCTCCAGACACCAACCTCACCTATAACCCAGGATCCTGGCACCGACTCCCATCCATCCCCCTCTATCCCCGTCAAGAACACACAACCGTATATCTAGACCCCTACATCTACATTCTCGGCGGCATCATCCCCTCCAACTCCACCAGTGACCCCTATCCTACCACAACCCTCATGCAGCGCTTCTCCCTCACAACCAATACATGGTCCCGTGCGGCCGACCTCCCCCTCCCCCTCAACCACGCCAACGCCGCCATCCTCAACGGCGCCATCTATCTCCTCGGCGGCCTTACCCCCTCTCCCGCCGGCACCTGGCTCGCCAGCCGCACCTGCTACCGCTACGACCCCAGCAGCAACACCTGGTCGCAACTCTTCACTTCCATTCCCTCCGGTCTCCAAATCGGCGCTGCAGCCGTCGCCCGTCGCGGAAACACCATCTATCTCGCTGGGGGACTCACCTCTCTCAACGTCTCCGAAACCTACCAACCCAGCGTCTCCTATTTCACCGCCTACACATCCGGTTTCGAGCGATGGACTTCTCTTCCTGATCTCCCCGAACCGAGAGATCATGCCGGAAAGGGGTTTATTGGGGATAATGGCCCGTTTTATGTTATTGGGGGAAGAGCGTTTGGACATGATAATGTGGTGGGAACGAATTATATGTATGATTTTCAGGTTGGGGGGTGGAGCGAGAAAAAGGGGATGCTGACCCCGAGAGGGGGGGTGGCTAGTGCGGTGGTGGGAGAGAGGATTTTTGTTGTAGGGGGGGAGGGGAATAGGGAGAGCGAGAGGGGGGGTTTTTGCGGAGAATGAGGGGTATGATGCTGAGAGGGATGAGTGGAGGAGTTATGCGCCGATGGATGTTCCGAGGGTATGTTTGTGTTTCTCTTCTTGTTGACTTTGAGGATTGTTCGTTCTGAGGGCTTTTCTTGGATTTCTCGTGTCTTGTTTCCATCCTACCTGCCCCTTTTCCACTCTTCCCCCTTTTCACACCCCTTCATTTTTCTTTTAAGTGACACTCAAATCCCCCTTAAGCCTCAACCCCAAATTCCACAATAACGATTCCTACTAACCTCCTCTTCCCCTCTAGCACGGAACATCCGCAGTAGCCGTCGGAAACAGAATCTACGTTCCCGGCGGAGGATTAACAGAAGGGGGAGATCCCACCGATTACTTCAGTTATTTTGAGGTTCCTTATTAGTTTTTTTTAAACATTGGTCGATATGGAGATAATCAAGTATGAAATATGAGAGGGAGAAGAGAGGTGGTGATCAGGAATTAGGATGCAGCTCCAAGTTAGTTATTTTTGGTAAATTGTTGCAAAAACTTTGTGTGATATGATGTGATGTAGTGGGATTGACGAGGTTGCTGGACTGGAACTCGGATACATATGAATGGGTTGATTGAAATACATACATACATAAATACAGTTATTCTTATAATGATTCATCTCTTTGAAATTCAAATTAAATCCGAATAAATTACAAAGTAATACACACCAATCGTCCTTGCATTTGTCTCTCCCCTTCTCTCTTCTTTCAACCACTCCCATCCCATTCCATCCCATCCTTTTCCTATGGCATCCCCCTTTCCTCCTCCCTCCTATTCCCCTTCCACTCCCCCCCCTCACTTCGTATTAACCCCCACCTCACACGCACTCAACGCCAACGCACAACTTGTAATCTCCCCCGCCCCATTCGCCTCCTTCATACACGTGCCAAACGCGCCCACACACGCCACACTTCCCCACGCACCATTCGTACAGACTGTTGCTACTCTCTTCTCCATGTTTTTCCTCATCTCTTTTCGCGCTTGCGCTTGTGCAGGTGGAGAGGGTGACTGCGCTATTGATTTGTTAGTTTTTTTCTAAGTTTTTCTGTTGATTGAATGAGGGATAAACTTTAAACTTACCAACTAGCAATCGCATCATTGTTCCCAGATGCAGCTGTCATACAAGTATTATATGTATCAATGCATGTGGAATCAACGGTATCGGTGGAACAGGAAGATATTTTTGTATTTGTGTCGAGAGGAGCAGGAAGTGCGGTGGTGAGAGTGAAGAGGATGGCGAGAGCGGTGGTGAGTTGAGAGATTTGGGTGTACATTTTGAGATGGTTTGAGGGGTGTGGGATTTGTGAAGTAGTTGGAGTTTTAAGGAGTGATTAAACGTGTAGTGGAATGTACGTAATGAGAATTTGGTTTGGAGATATTGTATCTTGTACCTTGTATGTGTTTGTAGAATATATATGAGAGAAGAGAAGAGAAGAGTAAATTCTTTACTGTCAATCTGATATGATGTGAAAGAATGAATCTCCTAGAACTTGGGAATTCCTCATGATATATATACCCATACCCATAAAGTACAAGTCCATACATTCAACAATCATCCTCTCCCCACCCATTAAGCATACTTCTTCCCCTCTCTTCCCCTCCCTCTCAGCTCCACATTGAAGTCATGACAATGCACAATGCACAAAACCTCAGTTCACATAATTCCCTACTCCCTTTCTCGCAATAGAGTACAAACCTCCTATAACATGATATCATATCATCCTATCCCATCCCCTCCCCTCCCCTCCAAATGATCATTCACTTCCCAGCAAGAAATACACTTCCTCCCGAGTCCCGAGTCCTGCACCCCAACCTCGCAACCCCCTTTTCATCTAATAATCCAAGCACAATCGAATCAAATGACGAAATATACCATCTCCCTTCCAGGCGTACCCCGTATGTCCACTTAGACATCCATCCAGCGCCATCCATCACAGCCCTAATGATCAGACGACACTATCATTTCCTCTCCGCATTACCTAGTATACTTGACATCAATCGGAAGAATCGCAGGAATAGTAACAAGAGAATTGACGTCATACCTTCTTAAGTTCTCAAAGCTAAGATCTAAAATCCCAAATCCCAAACCTCAAACCTCGCATCGCAACCACATCCATCCATCACGTTTCACCATGCGAACCATTCCACCACGCTATTCTTAAAAATAAAAATAAAATACAATTCAATAATGACAATAAGAAAAGTACCTCTCAGCATTCAGAACCACTTGTTATTCAAACTTGATATCATGTATCCACCCGCTGATAAAAATCAAAGTCTGACGTCTTCCTCGATATCCTACATTATACATAGCTACCCAAGTACCCATCTAGAGTACCTACCTAGGGATTTTCTACCCTCAACCCTAGCACCCTAACTGAAGCCGATGCGAGTCTATGCATCTATGCATCCATCCAATTACCAGTAAATACATATCCACATCCCCATCCACACGCATCCCAACTCAGCTCCCAACATCAGATGGATATGAAACACGAGATCTGAATCATGACATGTACATTCACATTCACAACCCTATGAGCAGTGAGCAGTGAACAATACACAATGACTTCATTATCATCGTCATCATCATCACTACTATCTATCTCTTCAGATCTTCGCATCTTCAGATCTCGATACTTATCAAGACGTCAATCTTCAAATCTACTCTCTCCCCTCTACCTCCCTCTCCCCCAAAAACAAAAACAAACCCTCAAAAAGACAACAAGACAACAAGACAACCACAACTTCACAATCTACTTTCTCCCATGACCTAACATGACATCCAATGACATGACATCAAATCTTTCTCCTCTTCTTTCTTCGATCTTTCCTCTTATATTGATCTCATACCGTACCATATCATATAATATCATCATCCACTCACAACCCCCTTGTTCTCTTCCCCATTCATATCCCTCATCCCTCTCCTTCCACTCATTCACCCCCTCATCTCTCCCTTCCTTCCTTCTTTCCTTCGTTCCCTCTCTCCTCTTCTTCTCTCTTTCCACTACCTTCTCAATCCAATTGCCCTACCCCGGCTACTACTCTTTTTCTTTACCAAATATCACTATTCCCTTTATTTAAACAATCCATTCAATCTCGCCATTACTCATCAAAATATTTTCTTTTCCCCCTCCCGTCCTCTTCTTTCAAACTCGCATGATGCTCACTCGAGCTATACGGTGAGATCCATCTAGAAATTGCCGGAGAAGCCCCTAGACAAATCAGGCAGAAGGAGCCTTCGAACTAGTCAACTATTCAAAATCAGATATCAACCCACCCATCACTTTTCGGAAGAAATATACACACTAGGACATTCACACTATAGGAGGACACAACTTCACATACTACATTTCGCAAATCAGTCATTCAATAGCAATAATTAAACAACGACAGTGACTGAAATCATTTCAGACAAATGCCATCCATTCTATTCCTGTCTTGACGAGCGGCATTCATTATCTTAACATTTCACCCCCAACCAACCATTCATCTTCCCATTGATCCATACATCCCCAATCCTGCCCCTGTTTCGTACGTTCCAAAATCTAAGTAATGTAGTAGGCCCAAAAGTCCAAAAATCGCAGCGCCCAAGTAGTTTGTGCTATCTCATCCTGTCCATGCAAATTTCCGTCTATCCAACTTTCTAGATTCCCATCTCCAATTGATTCGATCAAAGACGATCGAACAGTGAAATTCGAAATGGTCTTCAAAAAGGTGAGATAGTAATAGAAACCACAAGATGAGAGCGGGTATAATCGATTAACGCCTTCTTCCACTCTTTCGTAGAATCAGTATCTCCCATATTCCATATCATCGCCCACCCATAAAATCCGATTATGATTTTTTTTCACCCGGATATTGCAGTTTCCCATCTGCTCCATACCAGAAATGCAAAAAAAAACCCATGTTAACTCCTCGACGCACGAGAAATGTACGCTCCACTTTTTGTATAAGAGAGAAAAGTGCCATATTGGCCACTTTATTTATTCAATGTAATAAGATATTGAAAACACGTCAAGTAATTGACGAGTGCAAGAAGAAGAGGAAATATAGATACTGCGAAGTAAAACTTAAAACGCCAACGGGTTTTCTAATAGAACACGTTCCTCGTGGATAGATAGGTGAGAAGCAGGGAAGAATGGGTATGCTCGAGAAAAGCTATCAAGTAACAAAGAGCCAGATTCGGTCTCAATCGGATTTTCATAACACTATGGGGTATAATATCGCTAAAAAGAGATCTTCGTGACCGGAGAAAAGTGAATCTTCAGAGGGTAGACTCTCGTGGAAGAGACAATTGCAGGCAAATCATGATAAAGGTGAAATTCTTGTTTGGATTGAAAACTTTTGTCGCAAATGTTATCGAGAAAGCGAATCATAGATCGTCCAAACAATTCGAACTCGATCTAGAACCGAGGATCACGATAACCATTACGGTTCAAGTCCGATTGATATTGAACTCCACTCATGGATTCAGGTTGTGATATTCCACGAAGTGGTGGCAATTGTTCCTCGCGTTGATAAGAGCCTCTTGGAGCATAATTCTCTTGTTGGTACGCATTCATGTTGACGTGTTGACCGCTGTTCTGTGGTATTGGAGTGAAGCCGTTCATCACAGACTGGTGATTGTTGGAGCCGCCTTGATTTACTTCGTTACGAAGCTGTGAGTTCTCCAAGCGGATGACATTGTTCTCACGGCGAAGACTCTCATTCTCTAGTTGTGAATTGTGAAGCCTCGATTTCAAATCTTGAATTTCCTTTGTCTGTGTGTGGTGTTCGGCGATGGCTATAGTAATCATCTTAGTACATAGTCAATGTATGATGTTCGGGTTGAATACCTTTTGTCAATATCTCCCACTTGCTAGCTTTATTACCGCGCTCTTGGGGCATCAAATCCCTCAAGGTTTCGAACAATTCCTTCATTTCAGTTCGACGCTTCCTTTCCGCAAGTTTGTGGCTGACACGAAGTTCAGGTGTGCGGCTGTAAGGTTGCCCATTGTTTGGAGAATCGGCATCTTCAGCTTGTAAATCATGCACTTGTCGATTTTGTAGAGAATGATGGTGATGTGATACATTTTGAAACTCAGATGATGCTCGCGATGATCTGAAATCGACCGACACTCCATCTTCCAATCTTCTCTGCCCAGCTGGCAGGCGTGATTCTGTGGTATATTGGCTGCTTGCGACCGAGTCTGCCATACTGCTACGTCTCGAGTCAAGATTTAAGAACGAGGTACCAACTCTGCTTATGCTCTGGCTGTCCTCGGCATGGCGATCGTGTGAGTTTGATACTCTGATTGGCTCCTCAGGAAACGCCCAGGCTTCTCCCCTAGTTGGTTCAGCAGCTCGAGCGATGCTAGACATGGCAGGACCGGTAATCTTGGGGGCAGTCTTTGGGACTGTACTTCTGGGGGATGTTGGCGGCTCTGGCAGACGTTGAGGTTGATAGCTGTTCGAGAATCGAGGGTTTGACAAGCGATCGGCGGCATTCCCAGGGTTGCGCTGCTGCTGTAAAGTGCTTTGGATAGAAGTGGTTGATTGGTTCTGGCTGGCGTATGGGGAATTGAGTCGCAACTCTTGAAACCCCAATCTTGAATCGACACTCTCCCGACGGGAATCTCCGTTCATTGAAAAAGCTCCCAGTCCCGATCCATACGATTGTCTATTTGACTGGCCCATAGACAGTAGTGAATTCGCCATGGAATGTTCGTATGATGGAGAGACCATTGATGCGACGCTCATGCCATTCGAAGTTGGAGAGGTAAGCTGTTGATTGGCAATGTGATTTGCTGCAGGCGAGGGACTTATATCAGCACTGGAGGATTGATAACCAGTTGGCGAAGGTGCCATGATGACTTCGCCGTTCGATAATTGTTGCGAGTTATCTAAATTGGGAAGTATTCGTTAGCATGTTGTTAGAAGCGCATGTTGAAGAGAATGCCCCAAGACTCACGCTTCGATGACGAATCTAGATTCGAATAATAAGCAGAGTCTCTCATACGCTCTTCGGGGCCGACTTCATTCAAAACTTCAGCCAGCCCAGTGGGCATTCTAGTTGATGGCGGACGTGAATCCATCCTAATCGATTTGATCGACGCAATCGCTTGCTCTGATTACTTATCGTCTATTCTATTTTGAGTGGCGGCGGGGGCTTTTCTTAATTTAGGACTGAAGATAGAAAGCGGGCAAGATTCGCGATTCGCGAGTCGCAATTGAAGAGAGACAATTCGGAGTATTGGAGTGATAGGATGGATAGGATACCTGGGTGGTT